TATACACACACACTATAAATGCAACACAACTGTACAATGAAAATTAAACGTGCACTTATTATAAAAACAAATATATTGTATATATATAGGATCTTTCTAGCTAGACTGTAGATACTTCTAGTGTTTGCCATCCAATATCACTTAATTCAATTCTGTTATATAAAACTAAAGCCTTATATAGGTATAAATGACAGAGGTATCTACACATACCTGCAACAGACCCTAAGCCCAACTGCTGTTTTTGAATGCCAGGCCATTCTGATACTTCCTGGAAGTGTTGAAGTTTGCACACCACACGCTCCTATTGGCCAGTGTGGTCACCCATTAAAGTAATGTGCATATATTATATCAATTTGAAACTAACCCGTTAGATTGTAAGTGCATTCAAGGTGTAAAGCATCAATATTGCTCAAAGCAAATGTTCCTTGAAAATAAATACAAAAAAACTGTCTGGTATAAAGTGCAGGCACCCAGCTAGTAGTTTTTTGGGGGATTAGACTTGCTTTATTAATAAAAATAACCCTGACCTGAAGAAATCTTAGTAGATTTCAGAAATGCTAAAAGATTTGCATCTTGTGAAATCAGAAGCCGCTCAGTGTACCTACTGTTTCTGCTAAAAGGAGACTCTGATGTAGGTAGGGCTGCCATGTACCTTATGTCTGAGAAGTTAAAAAGAATATAACTAACCCAAAGGGACATATCCTAATGTTGTGTTAAGCAAAACATGTCAATTTATTTAGAAACAGAGCTCCACATTGCATTTGTATATGTGTATTGGTTAAAGGTTACTTTAAGATCTAAAACTGGTTAGATTGCCGGCAGGTAAAAAGTCTGGGTAGGAATGTAAATAGACAGAGAAAGATATGTAGGTACAATAGTATTGAAGGTTTTACTGGCAGTAACAAGGATTTTAAAATGAGTTCTATCAGCAACGTGCAGCCAGAGCAATTATTGGCAAATGTACACTACTAAAGTGTCTCTCTCTCTGAGCTGGAGATACATGGCATGACAGTTTGTAAAGCTTTCTGTCACATATTGTTAACAAGGAGGTGGTGTTCTACAGCAAAGTGTAGGGTGTGTTATACTTCAGTTTTCAAATGCTCATGAAATGTTGGACATTAAAAGCAAACTGGTCAAAAATTGGAGATTCAAGCTATATAAAATTCTGTACAAGCAGAATGTATCTCCTGCAAAAACAATCAGTAGATATACTGTAGATATAGTGCAGTATAATTCAAGCATGTCCATCCCCCCAAAGCTCTCTTATGGTCAGTTATGTCATAATGTCAGATGCTTTAGGAGGCCCAAAATACTAAATTGACAGCCACCCTTTTGTCTTTTTGCTTATTTTCTCTCAAAAGGAAGGTAGATATGATTGACAGCTGTTGCCTTTCCTAAATCCATGGTGACTATTGCTTATGTGTTTTATTCTCTAGAATATACTGTTGCATGTAGTCCTACCTATCTTTCAAATATCTTCCCGATAAATAGAAGATACACTTACAGTTACTAGGTGAAGACTTTGCTCACTTTTTAAAATAGGTACAATATTTGCCGTTTGTCTCAATCCATTGGTACCAAACCAGTGATTAAAAGGTCATTAAAAATGATAAACAATGGCTTAGAAAAAATGTAACTGAATCCCTAAGGGACTCGTGCTTATAAGCCATCTGTCCAGGTGCATTATTCACATTAACTGTATATACAATTATTTCTGGACCTTATTAATTTTGAGCCACAGTGGTGCACATGAGATTGTGTTAATACCATCCTTATATTGTAGATAAGCACCATCAAATTCTTTTGTATACACAGAGCTAAATAAGATATTTAATAGGTTTTTTTTCTCTTTGTCCACAGTTCCCAACTCTTAATTATTAGGTAAAAAGACCTAGAGGGTAATTACCTAAGGAGCCGAAGGGTCCAGCCGTAGCTTCGGCTGATCCTTCGCCTCACCTCGGCTCCCAGAGCTCTTTGTTTCAGTCGAACTGAAGAGCTGCTGTGGGGCTATTCACAATAGCCCGTACAGCAGCCAAAGGCAGCTGAGCAACTCACCGGAACTGAACGCATATACTTCGGCTCATCTGAGCCAAATGACAGCTATAATGGCAGATCAGCGATCTCACATGACCTGCGGATGCTAAGCTGTCATTAAACAACAACTGGGTGGAGCCGGCCATGACGTTATCCAGTCATGCCTTCAGCTATGACCCTCTAGCTTCAAGCAATTTCCTGGCTCCAGTATGAGCTTGCATGCTGTAGCCCCCCCCACCTACCGACTGAACTGGAAAAGGTGAATGTTTGGCTGTTCAGATATGTTAACAAATGTCAACAAGAGATGTACTTACATTTACAAATGATTGTAGCATTATACTCCTGCACCACCTTCCTGGGTAAGTGAGGATGAGGAAAAGATTAGTGCCAATCAGCACCAACTTGATGTTCTGAGGTGGGTCCCACTACTGAAGCACATATCTGCTACTTAATGGCATATGGTGAGTATAAGCATAGCAAGAGGCCTGCTGGCACAGATGACATACAGGCTGAGACATCAGCCTTCATATCAGCCATGCTTGTTTGGTATCCTTTAGAAGACTTGGGTCATGCAGTCTTGTTTTTAGTTTAAAATAAGGGATGCATTAAAATACTTGGGCAATTTAAAGCTCAAAAACACATTGTGGAAGCAGTTCAGACAAACCACTGGCAGGGATGATTCTGAAATGATTTCATTCTGAAAGCAAAGTCAAGAATAAAGTAAACTTGGCTGCTAATTTTACCCAATACACATTGCAATAGTACTAAAATCAGAACAGCCATTCAGTTTACCTCCAAACCATTAAACATTCCTATGATTCTGACATTTTTAAATGACTTGAACCAGAATTATCAGACTTTTTACAGTGTGTACCGCTTCTAATCACACAATTCGTTGCTGTGCAAGCTTCCTCTCTGAGAACGATGGTGAGTGGTGCCAGGGTTGCATCTTCACAGGATCAAATTCAGCGCTCTGTTCATGCACCATATTATGAGTGTCAAGATGCAAAATTTTTATGTGTTGAGTGAAATATACCTACACTATTCTTTTATACAAAGGTATCATTAAAGTAGAAGTGCAGTTTACATTTTTCATAATAAATTGCTCAACAATTATTAATATACAAAATGCAACTTTACCTGTGATATTCTCCTTCATTGTGGCACTGTCCCCATGTGCCTCTTACAGGTTTAAAGACAGCCAGCATTATTGAACACACTTCCTGTGAGCTCAGACTGTTATGGATGCATCCCCAGGGGTTGCCACATTATGTTGGCCTAGGCTCACAGTAGAATTCTGCAGAAAACAGTGCAGATGCCATATTTCAGCAGTATTGATTGCTCACTGCTGCAGGAAGAAGAGGACCCTTGTATGTCCCTGGGATGGGGGGGGGGATCTGGATATAATGTACTGTATGTATAAGAGGAAGTTTTCAAACATAGGTGCAATAGGGGGTTTTGGTAATGTTGAGAGGTGCTTTAATTTTACAGGCCCTTTGATGCCATTAACGGCATTACACTGACACACAGAGACCCAATGTAAGCAAAATAGTTAATTTATCTCACTAGGTCTCAGCCACCAAAACAAAATGAATAAATAAAATAAAATTAGACTGTAAGCTTGAAAGAGCAAGAAAGCTGTGCCCAGAATCACCTACAGTGCTATTTAAATGAATATTTATGAACAAAACACTTTTATGGCATAGACATTTTAAGACACACATTCAGCACACATTTCTTCCAATGGTGACTTTCTATACGGTTTCCTGGAAATCTGTTTGTTTAATGTAACATTTTATGTGATGTTTCAAAAGACATTTGAGATGCACATTTCCTAAAGCTACAATATGACATAACTGGCTGACAGCTCTGAGTTCTAGAAGAACATCCGATAAAAGACATATTCAAAATGACAATTTGTGTGCAGCCAGCCCTGGAAAAGCCAGTGCTGTCTCCTGTGCCGGAAACCTGTTTATACAAACAAGAGAAACACGTTTCCTGCAACCTTCTATGACAAAAATAATCCTATTTTTAAAGGGAGCAACACCTACACTATGTGTGGCATCTTGCTACAGGGATTTCATAATATCTCCCTTACTTAAAACTCCTTCCTTTACAGCCTAAAATACATTTTATATAGTAGTGGCACCATTTCCTATGCCTTCCTGAATAATATGCATAGATATGAATCCTCACATGATGTTAGCAGACTGATATTAGAAAACTCCAGTCAGGATGGTCTAGAATAGAGGTTTTAACATGGCCAGTAATAACATTATTTACAAACCCCAGAGGCAACTGTTCTGCATAATGTCTACTGAACACAGGGTTGAGAAGGTAATATATTGTATATTAATATTATATTGAAAGGAAAAACAATTGAAATGGTCATGGGCATATTGCACCAATGAAGTGTGTTTAAAAGACATTCTTCTCTTAAGCTCAGAGTTTCCAGCTCTGTCCCAGCCCCCCTTGGAATTTGTGGTTTTCCAATGAAATCTTGGGTGTTCCCACCCATGTTGTGGGCCTAACTAAAAAAAAATCCTAAAGCAAGATTGACACCCCATCAGATGTACCGAGAGGCAGAGATATTGCCACTCAGAAACGCAGAAATATATGTTTGCATTTTAAATCCCAAGCATCTACTCATAATTGATTTTTGGGTTCACTGACCCTTTGGTATACAGAACACATCCTGTTCACATTGTCTGTTTTGTTGCAGCCAAACCCTTGCAATTTGCTGATAAAAAAAAAGTATGTCAAGTAGAAATCCCATTATTTCCTATGTGGCTGGTACACACCTGTGTGCTGCAGTTTAATGTGAAAGATGAAGGGAAACTCTTAGGGCCCATTCACACCTTCAGATGTGCATTACCTGCATGCACATTGAACAGTGTAAAGCTGGCCATACACTAGTAGATTTCCAAACAAAAGATCTTTCTTTACCAACAAAAGATCTTTACCACCTGAAAATGCCATCAGAGACTGACGAATGTCGAACAAAATGTTGTTTATTTTAACGTTCGATTTTGGAATGCATGGAGTTTCCCGAACAAAAACCACATTCATTGTTAGATTTTCTTTTGTTCGAGAAAAAAGTTTCAGCCTGCTCCTTGAACCTTTTTTATCACTATGGTTGAAATCGATGATTGATTTGACCACATCAACTAATAGAAAGTCAAACGAAAGATCCTTTGAAAATCTACTAGTGTATAGCCACCTTAAATCCAGCCTTGTAGTTTTAATCTCAGATAAGAAATTTGTGCAGGCAATATGTTATAAACAAAAATCATCTGTTATTTTACCTTGCACTGACAGAGAGTGCATTCTGTGCTGTGCTTAATCCAAGAAGATCCTGTAAAGCGTACCACATTGGTTTCGTCAACACAAGTCTTTGTGATATCATTGCGTATTATGTCAGCTTGACACGGGTCGTTAATGCATCGTGGACAGCATTCACTCTCAGGAACAACACTAAATTCACAGTCAACTTCTGGGCAAGGCAGAGGCCAGCAATCAACTTCTCCTTGCTGAAATATACAAAAAACAAAACAAAACTTATTTTGATTTGTTAGTTTATCAGCATTTGAGGTTGAACTACTAAACTTATGTAATAGCAGGTTATACCACATACCATTTCTTTGATTTTTCTTTCTTTCAAAGTATTTTATTGAACATTTTCATCAAACATTGTATCAATAAAGAAAATAATTAGTAGAAAGGGGGTGAGAATTCAAATAACATGTATCCAAGATCAAACCCATGTAGGATAATTAGTAACCTGGGGACAAATCTGAAGAAGAGGAATAAAACAAACTGCTTCCTAGATAACATGTAGCTATGGTTAGTGTTACAAGTACTCATATAAGAAACAATGAAAACAGAGACAAAATGAATGTCCCATGTCTAGGATCAGGAGGAGTAGGAACCTTAGTGTTTGGTACAGTGGCAGCTAGGGATGCAAATTAAGAGCCCAAAATATATGTAACAGAGGAGTGTGAGTTTTATAGATGGGATAGCTATCTGCAAAAAGGATAGGGGTAGTCATAAGTGAAAATCAGGGGACATTCAAAATTTTGAGTTGCTATCAGAACAAGAAAAGAGAGGAAATCTTCCAATAAGGGACACTTGTTCCATTGGGAAGATATCCTCTCCTTTTCTATTGAGTCTGCATAACAGGAAGTTATGGGAAATCTCAGTAATAAGAAACAGTTGGCAAAAAAAAACTGGTTTCAAACCGTCGCTACTCTATTCAAATTTAAAAAAATATTTTGGCTATAGATACATTTACTGTTTAGGATTACAGTGCATGTTGTAGACAACACCTAAACTAGGCATATAAAACAGTCTGCAGATGTTATGGCTAATTTATTACTAGGGATGAGTTCAGGTTCAGACTGAACCTATTCCAAACCTGAGCTCCTCCAAACACAGAAGAAGCTACCCCAAACACAGTAGGAAGCTCTTTCTGTGCCAACAAATCAGTTGCAGGAAAATAATTCCCCACCTGCACTGGCATCATTGAACTTATATGGCTACATGCCTATATTAGGTATATTGCATTTACCTAATATGAGTATGTCACTATATAAGGTAAATTACGTCAGTACAAGCATTCTTCCACCTTGTTTACATGCAGCTGTCAGTAGGAGTTATTTATTTATATAATTATAGTTCTATGCCGCTACCTTGTTTTACTTTGTTAGCCCAAATTTACATTCAGGACTCTTTCAGACTGTTTACTATATCCTGCTACCATTTATAAATATAAAATATACTAATGCTTTATTTCTTTAAAAAATGCCATGTTTGAAACAAAAATGGAATATAAAATGTTGGAGGTGCCTGGGAGTTTCAAATGATAACCAGACAAGGAATATGCCATTTCTTTTTTGTAAATTTTGAATTTACAATAGAAACATTTATTATAAAGTGGAACACTATTCTCATGTAACCAGATTAGTGTAACGACATTGCTATATATACACAGGTACGCACCAAACATCTGCACTGCTGACAGTTTTGTACCCAGGTTTCTCCACTTTTATAGGTAATGTCTCCATTTTGATGCAGGCACTGACTGCTGAGTCGTGGATCGCATTCAGGACAGCAAAACAAGTCAACAGTTGGGTTTTCGCAATCACAAACCATGCGACGACACATTACCAGCCCAACCTGTGGAAAGTATACAGCATTATTTATCTAATTATATGTATACATAACAAATAAAATCTGATATCACTATGTTGTGAAATGTGGAATTCTTTGAAAAAACAAAACTGACCTGACAAGAACACACCGAGCACCGATCATTATCCAGCACCCAGATTTGCCCATTGTGCTTAATCTTGCCTTCATGTATACAATCACCAGAACAGTTTTTTCCATGTGGACAGCGGCAGTCATACCCACCATCCAAATTGAAGCAAACAGTATCGTTACTGCAGCTGTGTCTTCCAGTTAAACATTCATCAATATCTGCAGAAAATATGAGAAACAAATCATATTCATTCTGCCAAAGTTCAATATTCAAAAGATATAAAGAGCCAAAAAGCTAAAACACAAATGCATAAATTATGTAAAAAAAAATACAGTTGCAATGTTATATATTCTTGTTGTTCAGCCAAATTTATTTCCAAAGTCAAAGTTAAAGTCAGCCACTGATATTCTGGCAGCAGAATTTTGAATGCACAAAAAATTTGCATGTCAGTTAAAATCTACAGTATTTGGATGGCCAACATCTTTTTTTTTAAATATTTCCTATAAAAAGAATGTATTCATTACAAAATTAGCTTAAAAACCATGATAAAACCTCTTGGGAGGACGCTTTGGAGGACAGATCTGTTGGGTTTCTTAACCCAAACAAATTTAGCTTGGTCATGTTGCAGATGAACTCTGTAATAACCACATGCACAACTAATGCTGGTTTAGTCCCTGTCCATGGTACTGACAACTAACAAACATCCCATTCACACCTGTGCATTTTCAGTTGGTGTGGTGATTTATGAAGAGTTTTGCTTGAACTACCAAGATTTTTAAAGTTAGAATAATCCAATCATAACAGTGGGACTACTGAACAGAATACATTTAGAAATGTTTGACTGCTCATCTGTACTGTAACAAAGCAGGTTTGGCTCAAAATGAGTAACATAAGTAAGGTTACCACATAAAGTATGTAAGCCAGACAAGCACATCATTCCTAAAGAAAAGCTTTCCCAAGGGGAACATGGGAGTTGCTACTGCTGCTTGTTTTCTTTTGTAAATGCTACTTGCTTGGTTGCAATATTGACCTGTTAACCTCAATGCATTCTAAGTCTGTGACATAGAACAAGTATACAGATCAGAAATTTACATACATAGTTACATAGTTAAGGTTGAATAAAGATACAGGTCCATCAAGTTCCACCTATGTGTGTGTGTGTGTGTTTTTTTGTGCGTGAAAATTTAGACTGATGATTTAGCTGCTAGATACTGTAAATGACCTGGGTCAGTGACACCGAAAGTACTAGAGGCAGATGCTGGCAGACAAGAAAATGGCAATTCCAGAAGGAGTTTAGAAATGGAAACCAATGTATGTCTCTTAGTACATATTTACTCTAAAGCCAGTGGTTGCACCATGAATTACCCATAAAATATGTAAGCCTCCCAAGCTTGTGCTGAATAAACAGGCTCAGTGAGGTTAAACCAATCAATATAAACCATCTTAACATTTACATAAGGGAAAACCAGTAAATCTATTTAATTGAATCGTTGCACTTCACAGTAAATTCTGTGAGTTTGACATCTGATTACAGAAGTCAGGACACATAAAATTTACAACAGCAGATAAATGAATCAGTGGTCATATGACTTTGCAATTCTATCAGTGTTAAACAACCAATGCGCAGTACTAAAATCCAATAAAAGAAATGGTAGCAAAATAAATATAATAACTTGACATTATTTGACTGCTGAAATGTTAGATGTTTTTGTAAAACAGGGTACAAGATAGAGTACTTTTATAAAAATCACATTTTCAGATAAGCTATTTCATAGACTTGCACATTTCTAATGTATGCATTTGCCAATACTTTATTTTACATGAAAACTGTATAGTTTTGACATCACTATAGCATTTCTATAATCTCTCCCACTGTTCCACAAATACCTAAGACAGTTAATTTACTGAAGGAGCAAAGCATGATCACAAACAGAATTTTACTTAGCTTGGTGAATAAGGCTAAACTAAACGAAAATAAAAAAAAAGGTAATTTGTGCACGATTGCTTTATTCCACTCATCATATCTTCACCTTAATATTTAAGTTAAGCGAAAATAAACTTCAGAAACTGAAAATTTGCTTACCATATGCAAGCAAATCCCCAATTTTAATGATTTTCAAAGTGATTCTTTACAAAGTAAATTTTCCCTTGATGTCTCTTTATTATTTTAATATCTGCTGGTTAAAGCTTTAAGCCCCAGAAATTTGACTTCTAGGTGCAGTCTGAGAGGCTGAATCACCTACTGATTCCTTGTGTAACTTGAGGACTCAAGCTGCAAAATCATCCTGCCACAGTTTCAAATTGTGTTTCTATGTTCAGAATATACTGAGCATTATACTCACTAGCACACAAACAAGAGAAGTACTGCTGTGCGGCATCCATTCAGAGTAGGAAAAAAATACATCCAGCAAACAGAAGACATGAAGGGACACTGTGTGATATTTATGTATAAAGAGTGAAAATAGAGAAATCTGTGCTGTGTGTATAACAAAAGAAGTAGTACTATGTAATGTCTATAAGCTAATGTTGTCAACCTTTTAAATAAAAAAATAATCAAGACAGCAAAACACACATTAACTGCATTTTACACATATGAATACATTATGAATGTGTCACAAAATATAGGGCCAGTTCAGGTATTTGGCGAAGAGGAAGCATCAAGGGTAATTTGCACATCATGCAGTGTGCAAGGTGAGATGGGTAAAAAAAAAAAACAGGGGTACTCCCTGAATTTTAGGGTGATTTGACATGGCTGCCTCTTCACTGGCCTGACTCCATAAGAGTACATTCTGGTTGGTTGTTCTAGGTTACTCCAATAAAAACATTAGTACTCAGGAACTCGGTATTAAATAGAATTGTAGGAAGTTAAAGTTTTCAGGTGTTTGTTTTGTTTACCTGGAAAAAGCACATATTTATGAGGAAAAAAAAAACCTTTTAGGGTCTGATTTTAATGTAGTTATTGTGAATTTAAATGTGGATACATTAGCTTTCTATGATTAAAGTACTGTAGATAGGTAATAGAATAAGAAAATGATTTTGGTTGCCTAGTAACTCTCATACTGTAGGCTGTAAAACAGAACCAGGGTTGCTGGATCTAATCACATCTTAAGCTGACAAAGATAGATCTATACTGAATACACAGTATGTATCAAATACATGTTGGTCAATGGCTCATTCCCATGGATGCAAATACAGGTGTATGGTCATATAGCAGAAAATGTGCCTGTATTTGCCAAGCATGGGTGCCGTGCCCCAGTTGTTGAGTATTTGTGTCCATAGGATTGTATGGATAAAATACTTTAAGCATTTGTGCACATGTAAATGCAAGTACCAGCATTTCCACATGCATGAATATGGGTGTAAGCTTCCAAATACACAACAGCTGTGGCTCCCAGGCACTGCAAATAAAAGCATATTTTCTGCTGTATGCCCATACTCCTATATTTGCGTCTGTGGGAATAAGCCCTTTTTCAGTAAAGTAGTGCAAAGCGAACTTGTAATATGTCAAGTTTATCAACCTCTAGCAACTTTATAGTCTACTTTAATTTATTATACATTTATTTTAGGTCACAACACTTTGCATATTAAAGCTGCCTCTTTAGCTGCTTTACCAAATAAGCCTGATGAGACGTATGTGTAAAGGAAAAAAACATTGTATAAGGAAAGGTAAAGTTGCTGTTCCCCACAGCTATCACTCTGGCTACAGCTTTCATTTTTTTAAACAGCACTAAACAAACGACAGCTGCGGTTTCTAATTAATGCAACTGCGTATGGATTACATTTGTTATAGTTGTTCTACTTCTGCATGATAATCTACAGGAAACCATTTCCTGGATGGCAAGCTGTTTTCATTTTCTTTTTTGTATGTTTATTTATTTCAGGATCCTGCTGCACAGTTACTGGCTTTAGAAGATAGTATTGCGTTTAGCTGGATGCCCGTTGTAATTCATTTTATATTCTTAGAGGCCTATTCATCACCAGAAAGAATATAATTTGTACTTCAGATAGAAGCACTCCACATTGCTACTCAGCCTTTATTTATTTCAGTTTGCAGAGCGGAGGAAACATTCCCTGGGCTGAAATAATGAATTTTTTTCTCTAATCCTATCTCTCTCTTTCCTATATGGAAAGAACACCTTGGACTAATGTACAGCTAAAAGTACACAATATAACTGTATTTTACTTTTAGTTTTACAGAACAGACTGATTGCAAACAAATACATTTTCAGGTTCATTTATTATGATCCGTATGAATTAAAACATTCCACACAGAGGAAAAGTATGCTAATAGTGTATTTGTGCCTTTAACATTATCCCAAGTAAACCCTTGAAGTAACTGTAATGTGAATACTGACCTTCACATGACTCTCCACCCAAGGAGAACATCCCATTGTCATGGTAGCCATCTCTGCATTCACAGTGGTACCAGCCTGGTAGGTTAATGCAGTTAGCACGGCTGTCACACTGAACAAATCCTTCAGCGCATTCATCAATGTCTAATAAAGACAAGCACAAAAAAAAACTGAAAAGCGTTTGAAGAAAAAAACATTCCATGCTATATCATACGTCTTTGTGCCACTTGCTACGAGTGGGGTGACGTTTTCTCCACTGTGCCAAATGTTTATCAATATACACATATTTTCAGAGTTTTAAAAATTATTTAGTTGCCTTCAACAATTAGTGGATTCCAGAACAATCCTATTTTTAGTTTTAGGGCAGGGAAGGATTAGATACTGTCAGGTTTTTGTTGCTATTTTTGCTCCTGTTGCTGCCTGCCCCAATCACACCCAGGGAACAGCTGTGGGCTGAATTTACTATTTCACATCTATGGAATGCGCTCTATATACACCTTTGGACAATGCACTAAGAGGTGATGACAGTGTCACTGACTTGCAACTGGATTTTCTATAGCAATATATACAGAAAGCACTCCAAAGAATGAAAGCGGCAGTTCAGCTTATAGCCATACCCTTGTTGTTACCAGTGCAGCAAGTGAAAGGAAAACTCCCCAATAAAGGCACGCATTTCTCGACGGAACTAATGCTTCCCTACTGCTAATATCTGTTGTGACAGAAGGACGACATTAATGCCACGTGACCTTTAAAACTGTAAACATCAAACCTACACATTCCCATCCAACAAATAGATGCCTGTTATTGGCACTAGGAGCATCCTACTCTGTATGTGGATTGGTGGATTAAGTGAGATTCGCCTTTACAAACATGATTATTACTGCTTCTCCAATCTCTAGAATGAAAATTCAGCTGCTGCAGCTTTGGTCAGTTTCTCCATTTCAACCACCTGGTTTTACCAACTTCTGCCAGCCTACCCCCCATACCCTTCTTTGGTTTACACTTATAATTTATGTTTGGTCTAGACAACCATAGCTACTAAGTTAGAGTCTGTTAGTGATGAGACAAGGATGAGTTATTGCATGGACGAGAAGGGGCCATTGCTGGCCATCTCAGAAAAAGATCCATGGGTGTAAATGGCCTACACAGCCTAACCTAAGATAATTGCCTTTATAAACCTGAGTGCACCTATCTCTATTTGTCATTATTTCCAAACAGCTCAGATAAAGACAACCAGCTAAATTCTAGGCAAAAGGTCACTGAAAACATTTTTCTACGTAAGTAATAAAGAAGACTTCAGACACCAAGTAAATGTTTCCTATTAGCTGTCTGCAATCAATATATGCATTTTCTTTAAATACACTGTCAGGCCTACAAAATTACATCTTAAGAATTTCCATGTGCACGCAGTTCTTATTTGACAGTGCATTCTTAAAGGAAATAGAGTAAAATTCTAATGTCTAGCCATTTTAATGTATCATTATGAAAATGACTTAAACAGCTTCAATTTAGATATGGTAAAATAATTGCTTATAAAAAACAGTGGACTTAACATGAAAAGCTTTTCAAAATGAAAACATTAAACTGAAGTACAGTGCAAAGGATACTAATAGGGCTATACAGTTATCCGCTTTCAATTTTGAAAGTGGTTGTGTCAGCACTTTACTGATTGCCCTCTCTGAACCGTGTTTTTTAATTTCTTTCTAAGCACTCAGAAAAATGAACTGTATAGTATGAATAACAATTAAAACATTATGCGCGTGCTTCTACTTGCATGCACACTACGGTGACATACCCCAAACAAACCATTTACAAATCAAACATAAAAGAAGGACTTCCAAAACATCTTAATGTACTAGTACAATTGGTACAATTTGGTAACAAGTGCTCAATGCTTTTTACAATAATCCACCGAGCATCAAGGTGACTAGATGATTCTTTTATATTCTACATGGATACATATTATTTACTCAGCAAGGTTGTAGTGTTTTTTAAAATCTCTTTTAGGTAAAGGTGAACTACCGTAAATGGAAGTAAAATTATTCTAATTATGTGACTAAAAAAAACAAAACACATGAATGTGAAGTTGTTAGGTTAATAAACCTATCAACAGCTACCCCTAGTTAAAAATATTCGTTTTGGGTTAACTAGCCCTCTTATTACCCATTATCTTAACTTAGTGCCAACATATTACTTATTAAAAGGAACAAATTGCAAACAATTGTATTAAGAGACTAGACAAGAGCTTACAAATTAAGAGCACTAAATAATTTAGCATATTGACCTTTACAGGAGTAAAACATAGGACTTTTACCAACATATCCATCATGTTGTTCAAAGCAGATGAGTATTGGCTGACATGATGTTTAAATTATGCAGATCACACTTGGAGCAGGTATTTTAAAAATGAATTTGTAAATAAAGCAATATGTACATTGTATATATATATCTAGATATCCCAGCAATGACACAGGCCCAATGTTTGGGCTGATTTCACTGATATCTATCACCCTGAAAACCAGTAAATGATGCAACCCCATTTTTGTTTTTTATTATAACCCCATTTCTCAGTATGCACGTTGGTTTTCTGATTTCCGATTATGTCAGCATAGCATTCTCACTCCATAGTGAAACTACAAGCCTTCCAACAATGCTGCCATCCCTATGGGCACTGGCAATGCTAAATATGTCATTACAGGTATACATGCACTGATGGCTAAATTAGGTAATCCCATTTTTATCCCTTTTGTGTCAACACTATGGTAAATTCGAACAAACTGTTTCTTAGCAGCTGTGAAAGCACTTTGATCTCATGTTTACCAATGTGAAATGAACATGTTATTGAAAAATAGAATACAGAAAGCTTTTTGTTGGAAATATAACCTAGTGGGAACACCTTACTCATAAATGATTTGCAATAGTAGAAAGTAAAACCATTATATTCAAGGGGAAAAAAAATCTAGGAAAAATGTATCATAATTATCAGGCACTGTGTATATTCAGATGCTATGCATTCATATAACCAAAATAAAATCCAGTCCTACTAAGGTGATGGCATAACTGTTATTTTAAAGCTTTATTACTATTCTTCTAAGAATATTATGTTCTTAGGGAAATTATGTGCACTCCTAATCTTTTTTCAAACTCCCAGCAAGAAAAAAAATATAGTTTCTGTAGGAGTGGAGAGGAGAACAAAGTGGGAGGATGCTCAACATCACTGTTGCTAGCTAGTGTCCTATCCAAAAGCATGACTGGTACTTGTAGCTTATTATAGGGTATCAATGCCACTGAAGGCATAGATTCCAATAGGGGGAATCAAAAGAAGATAGCGTAGGTCCCGAAGTTCTAAAAAAAAGCATATATGATGCATTATACCAGTAAAGACAATAACACAAAATACCAAGTGAAGAAATACGCAGATAATGGATTTTCGTCTTGTAATGACAGCAGTCCTTTAAGATTCATCCTAGCTTTTTGAGACATTGTAAGATATAGTATTTGTTGTTAATACAGTACTTATGTATACTGGATTGGGACTTGGTTTGGACTTTGTATATATCTTTTTTTTTCACCCAGAGCTGTAAAAACAACCATGTATTTTCAAATCTCGAAATTACTGACACAAATATGGTCAAATTCCCCCTCCTTCTATTCAGCTATCAGGAGGAGAAAAGAAAGCCCGAAGCCACTGGAGTTAACAGAGGGTGGAGGACTCTCTCCCAATCTCCCATGTACAATTGTTATTGCTATTACCAAGCACCAGCTCTGTCACATGAAAGGAAAGGGATAAGGTTACATGGTCCTGCCTACCTGGAGGTCTGGAGTATTTACTTCATTCCTGACACCTAAACAGAATAGTGGGGGGCGTAAGGGGTTAGTGGCATATATGCTGTTGGAGACAGAAGCATTAAAACAAACCAATTGCTTTTGTCTTGAAGGAGAATAGCACAGGATCGGACCAGGCAGAAGCTTCATTTAGCAGGTTTAATGATAACAGTTGCAGCTGGGAACAGGCATAAGCAAGTTCAAAAAATATACATATGGGCTACAATGTCATTGGTTGCCAATGCCTACATCACTGCAACTAGTCGTTAATCTAACATTCCTGCAGACAATCTTTAATACAGCACCAGCGGTGTAAGTACAAAGGAGACAGTCTGCAATGGTCGTAATGCAGGACGCTAACGAGGCAGCTCTCACTTGATTCTAGGAAAACCTCAGCTCAGTGATCTCTATATATGAAGATAAAGATGTCTCCTCTATTATATTGTACCCCATCGTTACAACTTGTGGGCGTTTTGCGCCTAATATATTCAATATACGCAATGGATTTAAAATGTTGCCTGTCTCACGGACATTTGGAGCATTTCCATATCTATGCAATTTTTATGTAAGATTGTATGTATGTATTTTTTAATGTATGTTTTTCCATGTGCTGTACATATTTCTCTGGTAAAATCGACCTCAAAGAATTGAGTCCAAGCCTTAGAGCTGAAGCCGCTCTATACACGCTTCATATGCGTTTTTATACAAAAAATATATTTTTATACATTTTTTATACAATTTCCTAAATGACGTTGGCTGTAGTAGGAGTATCTCTGACTATCCCTGCGATCTCAGGTGCCCCAATTACCGGCCTTGATATATAAAAGGGAGTCAGTAGAACACTCCAAATTGGTTCTGTAGGAGGCGTGACCTCTGAAACGCGTAAACCACCAACTACCAAGGAGGACGAACAGCCGGTGGATAAGCACCTCACGTTCTGACCCTTACATGCCTGTTTTTACTCGACTTTTGTGAGTACCATTACACCAGTTTTTATCTGTTTATTAAAAAATTTTACGCGATGGATGCACTCTCTGCGTCTTGCCTTACATTCCTGCAGACAGTATAAGGGGAATTCATCAAAACTGGAGCAGACAAAATCTGGAGCAGTTGCCCAGGGCAACCAATCAGCTTCTCTGTTTAGATTGTTCAGTTGAGATTTGAAAATGAAAGAGAGATGCTAGTTGGTTGCCATGCACAGATGCTCTAGATTTTGTCTGCACCAGTTTTGATAAATTCCCCTCTATGTCTCTTAAGTTGTTCTAGACCCTTCTTTATGAATTCTATCCCAGCCCAAGCACATAGACTGGACATGTGCA